AATTAGAGTAGAAGAAAATAGAAATAAAAACAGAGAAAAGTTCCACAAATTCTCGCTTGTAAGTTCGTAAAAAAATATATATATAGTACAAGCCATAGATGAAAATCCAGTTTCTGGCTTAAAAGTCTACCTCAAATATTTGCTTAGCTAAAAGTATATGGATATTTAATTCCATAATAAAAAGTTGTGGGGGAAAATATCAAAATTTTAAGAATTCTTTATAAAAAGATGTTTCCAGAATTGAAAAAGTAATTAAAAACTATTATTTCGTAAATTCATAATTTAGCCCAAACAAAAATCGTACTCATATGAATCCTTATCCGTTAATAAATAAATGTTATCAGTCAATAAAGACGTGAAAAAGTACCCTGATAAAACGACTTGAAGAGAATGTTCTTAAAAATTTTTTCGGTCTTTTGTGGAAAAAGAATTTATTTGGTCGACCGCAAGAGTACTTCATTAACGTTACTGTTCTCCTCTGAGGCTATTCCACCGGCCGCCAGAGGCCAGAGCAGTGGGAAGTAGAGAGTGGAATTGAAGGGTAGAATGGAAGAGTAGGCAGACGACGAATAGAGGAGGAGGAGGAGGAAGAGAACTATCTAAAGTTGAGAAATCAGATGAACGGAGCGTGGATAAAACGGATCAGATAAAGAGCCGAGCTGAAGGGATAGAGATAGATGGAAAAAGACTGAAATAGAGAGACAGAAAATGCAAATAAATAGTGTAGAAGAAGAATAACTCCAGGATTAAGATCAAGAATGACTGAGGACTGGTAGCAGGGATGACTGAAGTAACCAGGACGTGAAATCAGCTTGAGTGCGAAGTTTGGTGGAATTGAATTACCATTTAGATTCTGGAATACAGCAAGATCCCGTTGGGCGGTGGTGAGGAGGCTCTCAACACCATGCAAGTTGAGAAATATATGCTAGAAGTTGTGACTCAAGTGAAAAAGTTAAATGAGAAACACCGCGATTCTATGAAACTTCGTAGATTTGATAACGCCATTCCAACAGGTCAAGCGTCTGGTGAAGGAGATCTGATCTTCAAGAGACCTTAGGCACAGTTGGGAATATTGGCATTTCGAACATGCATTCCGAACACTTCAGCCCTTGTACACACCTTCCTGCTGCTATCACGTGTCCGGATACGTGGATTTAAGGTTTCCTATGTCCATAAAAAGGGAATATAAACGTACCAGAGATTAGTATTGATATCTTTGATAAGATATCTTTGATAAAGCTAATTTCCCATGTGACCTTAAGCGTCGACGCAGCTTAAAGATTATAGGTTGGAAAGTTTAAGGCTTCGGGCCTGAAAGGATCTTCAAAGTTTAGGGCTTAGCGTCTACTCGGATCTTCAAAATCTAACGCAAGTTGACTATCAGGATCTTCATGGTAATTGACTCTAATTTCTAAGTTTCACGCATGACACAACTCGATACAATTTCCTGAATTAAAATTAACTATTAGTGTATATACTGATGATATGATGATACTATTAGTGTATATACTGATGATATGATGATACTATTAGTGTATATACTGATATGATGATACTATTAGTGTATATACTGATATGATGATACTATTAGTGTATATACTGATATGATGATACTATTAGTGTATATACTGATGATATAATGACCAAACTACTCATCAAAAGATAAGGAGATGACGACGTTTCGGTCCGTCCTGGACCGTTATCACACTACTTGATAATGATCTGGGACGTCTTGAACATGTCCTCCTTGCGTTTCGAATTAATAATTAATCACTGAAGGAACGAAGGGATGTGATCTCAAGCTCCACACACCAGGGGCCAGATTCACGAAGCAGTTACGCAAGCACTTAGGAACCTGTACATCTTTCCTCAATCTTTGACGGCTTTGGTTACATTTATTAAACAGTTTACAAGCATGAAAACTTGCCAATCAACTGTTGTTATTGTTATAAACAGCCTCCTGGTGCTTCGGAGCTCATTAACTGTTTAATAATTGTAAACAAAGCCGCCAAAGACTGAGGAAAGATGTACACGTTCGTAAGTGCTTGCGTAACTGCTTCTCGTAAGTGTTTGCGTAACTGCATCGTGAATCTGGGTCCTGGACTCCAATCTCAGCTCCCAGACGCAGTCCACCTGAGTCCCTTCACTCAATTTAACTTTCCTCAATGACTCTAGGCTTAGCGAATGGTTAAGACGTACTCAATTACTCTCGCTCGTTCTAAGATGCTGGTTGTAGATAGTTATCGTCCTTGTCTTCCGAAATGTCTGCATATTTATCTTAGATTAAACATTATATATATTTATATACGCATGTTCGATCCCAGTGTCCAGCTCCAAAGACTTTCTCATAGATATATTACGTTATTCTCATTTCATTATATGTAAAGCAATATATCAAAGTGAGGGAGAAAAGATGACCCGAGAGGACCTATAGAGTAAGATGGAAGAGAAAAGAATTATCAGGACGAAGCACCAAGCCATTACGACTATATAGCACTGGGAAGGGGTCAGGATAAAGACTTGGGATGGGACGGGGGAAAGGAATGGTGCCCCAACCACTTGTGGACGGTCGGGGGATTGAACACCGACCTGCATGAAGTGAGACCGTCGCTCTACCGTCCAGTCCAAGTAGTTGGAGGAAACTCTCAGAAATAAAGAAGAACCGGAGAGTATTAATATCAAACACAGCTCATGAGAATTATTTCCATAATAACGTCTCCGTAACGCCCAACTAATAAATATCAAGATAGACATCAGAAAAATAATTAAAGAAGCCTTTTGAACCGTACTAGATAGTACCTACGTAAGACCATTCACAAAATATGCAGCTCCTGTACAGAGTCCATGTATAAAGTAACACTTGTCCCAGAACTGAGTGAGAGGACTCGGCTATATTTGTTCCAGAGCATAGAGAAATCGCCTATAGCTGTCCCGAAGCATATAGGAATCGTCTATAGTTAGCAGCCAATCACATTCAACAAAACTAATCCACAAGGGCCGTGACGAGGATTCGTCTGGGATGCTCCCGGACGCAGGTTCGAATCCTCGTCACGGCCCTTGTGGATTTGTTCATTTGATGCATCACGTTAGTGTGATCTCTGTGTGTGAAGCACATTCAAGCTTACCACGTACAAGGAAACATAAATAAGTCAAAGTAACTGAACCTCAGTTTTATCAGGTGAAACTGAACCTCAGTTTTATCAGGTGAAACTGAACCTCGTACAATATATCAGCTGAAACTGGTTGTTATCGGTCAACTAGCAACCAAAATTAGACACAAACGAGGCTGAGAGACGAAAGGAAACACGTCTTACACCAGTTTCCTTCAGTAAGTAACAGGGCCGTCGAGAGGCGAGCCGTGAGGCGCTTGCAGAAAGCAATTTCAAGTTAAAACACATCAAGAAACTTGTGAAATAAAATTCATGGCATTTAGTCGCCCGGGAATGGAAAGGCGGGGCTTGGGAGCTAGTGATCAACCACCTAAACATATTAGATAAACATACACACAGAACAGACGAAACAAACATGTCCTAATTATCAATACGATAGTTAATTGGGCTTTTCAAACATTAAGAAGTATAACCATTGCATTAAATACAAGAAGTATATGTATACATGTATATGAAGTATATGTATTCATACATATATGAAGTAAATACAATGGTTATACAAGAAGTATAACTATTGCATTAAATATAATATGTACATTCAGACTTTTAATGTCAATACTTTTTTCCTTAGTATTTGTAATTACCAATCTTCTTCAGAATTATATATTAACTAGGGAGCCGGTCGGCCGAGCGGACAGCACGCTGGACTTGTGATCCTGTGGTCCTGGGTTCGATCCCAGGCGCCGGCGAGAAACAATGGGCAGAGTTTCTTTCACCCTACGCCCCTGTTACCTAGCAGTAAAATAGGTACCTGGGTGTTAGTCAGCTGTCACGGGCTGCTTCCTGGGGGTGGAGGCCTGGTCGAGGACCGGGCCGCGGGGACACTAAAGCCCCGAAATCATCTCAAGATAACCTCAAGAAGATAACCTCTCACAAGATCAAACCAGAGGTATTAGCACTGATTCAGAACCTTCACATATTGTTGATGGGTGTGAAACCTTCACATATTGATGACGGTATGTGAACCTTCACATATTGATGACGGTATGAAACCTTCACATGTTGATGACGGTGTGAACCTTCACATATTGATGATGGGTGTGAAACCTTCACATATTGATGATGGTATATGAACCTTCACATATTGATGACGGTATGAAACCTTCACATGTTGATGACGGTGTGAACCTTCACATATTGATAATGGGTGTGAAACCTTCACATATTGATGACGGTATGTGAACCTTCACATATTGATGACGGTATGTGAACCTTCACATATTGATGACGGTATGTGAACCTTCACATATTGATGACGGTATGTGAACCTTCACATATTGATGACGGTATGTGAACCTTCACATATTGATGAAGGTGTGGAACCTTCACATATTGATGACGGTATGTGAACCTTCACATATTGATGAAGGTGTGGAACCTTCACATATTGATGACGGTATGTGAACCTTCACATATTGATGACGGTATGAAACCTTCACATATTGATGACGGTATGTGAACCTTCACATATTGATGAAGGTGTGGAACCTTCACATATTGATGACGGTATGTGAACCTTCACATATTGATGACGGTATGAAACCTTCACATATTGATGACGGTATGTGAACCTTCACATATTGATGACGGTATGTGAACCTTCACATATTGATGACGGTATGAAACCTTCACATATTGATGACGGTATGTGAACCTTCACATATTGATGACGGTATGAAACCTTCACATATTGATGACGGTATGAAACCTTCACATATTGATGACGGTATGTGAACCTTCACATATTGATGAAGGTGTGGAACCTTCACATATTGATGACGGTATGTGAACCTTCACATATTGATGACGGTATGAAACCTTCACATATTGATGACGGTATGTGAACCTTCACATATTGATGACGGTATGAAACCTTCACATATTGATGAAGGTGTGGAACCTTCACATATTGATGACGGTATGAAACCTTCACATATTGATGACGGTATGAAACCTTCACATATTGATGACGGTATGTGAACCTTCACATATTGATGACGGTATGTGAACCTTCACATATTGATGACGGTATGAAACCTTCACATATTGATGACGGTATGTGAACCTTCACATATTGATGACGGTATGTGAACCTTCACATATTGATGACGGTATGAAACCTTCACATATTGATGACGGTATGTGAACCTTCACATATTGATGACGGTATGAAACCTTCACATATTGATGATGTAACCCGCCGCGTCAGACGCAAAAATGTTTACATTTGGCGATGGAACAGCAGACCAAAAATCTCCTGTCAGTGTTCGACAGGATTTTCACAAATGGATATTACAATCGTTCAGATAAATCTTTTATGCAACGCGCCAGGTGTTCTGTTCCGTCTGACGCAAACAAGGAACACCTCGCTGGGTTTGTTGAGTTGATTGCATACTGGGAGTGTGGTGGCTGGTTGCTGGCTATGTCTGAGGCTCGAACCGGTTATCTGGGGGTAAGGAATCTGTAGCAAACTACCCGCTGAACACACACCGAAACTACGACGTTGGTACAACGTTCGAACAAGTTTTATCACCTCCTAACCAGTTATAACAACCAATATAGCAAGTTGTAACAACGTTCTAATACGTCATAAACACGTTAAGCCAAGATGTAACAACTTTATTACAAGTTGTAACAAGCGGAAAATAGACAAGTTTCAGTTTGTGTTTGCAAGGTACGAACGTATCATTGGTTTGTAGCGTTTGTTGGAAACTAGAGACGTGTCGAGGGGTTCAGTAAGGTGATTTGGTTTGTTGATTTTTTGGGGGGGGGATTTGCCAATCCGTTTTCATGCTATGCTAATCCTTGAAGCATAACTATAGAACCAAAATCGATATTTTTTACTATATAAATTAGCATTATAATATATTAAATTTAGTGAATAGTTGGCCTAAATTTGGTGAGGTGTTTGCATTTTGTTGACAAACTTTTGCAATGTGGTACGTGACTGGAGCAATTAGAGAAGTACGATTCGAACAGAAGACGGCAATAGAGCAGTGTTCGATCGTCGTCTGTGTGTGTGTGTGTGTGTGTGTGTGTGTGTGTGTGTGTGTGTATGTGTGTGTGTGTGTGTGTGTCTACATTTTAATTTACCTGCGTCCTGAAAATTATTTTCTCACTGTCAAGTCTGAAGATTATAAATTAATTTCAGTGGACATGGCCAGAAATTCTCTGGTTATGGTCCAAAGGTTTTGGGCTTCCGGCCTCCATCACTCACATGTGATATTGTTTCCCCTGGACGACTACGATATGATGCTGGAAGATCTTCAGACACAAGATGTACCCAACATGATGCTGGCAGATCTTCAGCCACGAGATGAACCCAACATGATGCTGGCAGATCTTCAGACACAAGATGAACCCAACATAATGCTGGCAGATCCTCAGACACGAGATGTACCCAACATGATGCTGGAAGATCTTCAGACACAAGATGAAACCAACATAATGCTGGAAGATCTTCAGCCACAAGATGAACCCAACATAATGCTGGAAGATCTTCAGACACAAGATGAACCCAACATGATGCTGGCAGATCTTCAGACACAAGATGAACCCAACATGATGCTGGAAGATCTTCAGACACAAGATGAACCCAACATAATGCAGGCAGATCCTCAGACACGAGATGTACCCAACATGATGCTGGAAGATCTTCAGACACAAGATGAACCCAACATAATGCAGGCAGATCCTCAGACACAAGATGAACCCAACATAATGCTGGAAGATCTTCAGACACAAGATGAACCCAACATAATGCAGGCAGATCCTCAGACACGAGATGTACCCAACATGATGCTGGAAGATCTTCAGACACAAGATGAACCCAACATAATGCAGGCAGATCCTCAGACACAAGATGAACCCAACATAATGCTGGAAGATCTTCAGACACAAGATGAACCCAACATAATGCTGGAAGATCTTCAGACACAAGATGAACCCAACATAATGCTGGAAGATCTTCAGACACGAGATGAACCCCACATGATGCTGGCAGATCTTCAGACACGAGATGAACCCCTCATGATGCTGGCAGATCCTTCAGCACATAATATATCCACCTTATAAAGTATTATAGGAGCGGCAGCAGGTAAATATATACATTTAACTTCTTTACAAACAGGCTAATACAATGTTCCAATATGATAATAATTTCCTAATAGGTCCTATTATTAATTTCTTATCTGATTATTCAATACAAATTAGAATCTTATAATCGTATTCAAGCATTCATTGAAATCTAAATTCTAACAAAAATCTAATGATCAAAATTCGTATGTTAATAATTTCTAACAAACACAGAAGTCTTGCTGGTTGTTAGACATTGTTAGATAACTAGAAACACAAATTTTCACCGTTAAAATTCTAGCTACTTTTTGTAAAAATAAATTTTCATGGATTTAGATTCGTTTTCCTTTCACATATTTGACGATGAAAGATAATGAATGTAGTGCAGTCTTATAATGTGTATGATGTAGTTTTATGTGTATGATGCAGTTGTATGATGTGTAGAGTGCAGTCTTATAATATGACTTTTATTGCTGCCTTTTGACGTAGTTCACAGTACAGTCTTATGGCATAATTCAAATTACAGTGGAAATACAAAATTAAATTAAAAAAATTATTATTAAAAATGAGCTCCATTACATATAATAATTTTAATATCAGTCATCATATTATATATATATATATATATATATATATATATATATATATATATATATATATATATATATATATATATATATATATATAAATATATAAAATGTGCTTTTAAAATTATTTTTTTCTCTAATTATCAAATGCATTAAAATACATTTAGAAATTGTAATTAAAAAAAAATGAAATGAAATTTTTTTTTGGGTCCTAAGAATTCTGAGTTTTCGGCTTTGCGAAATATGATAAAATTGGGACGATAATATTTGAAGATTGCCAGACCATGATGAAAAACATATTTACTTATGTTAGCGAAATTTGTTTTCTCTTTCCTTAGTGTTCAGACTACTCTAAGTTGTTTTAATTGAATGTTGAGTTTCTGTTGTATTCAATACGACACAAAACTCTTTCTGTTACTGTCACTCATTGTGTCTCTCTGACTGTGTGTGTACTCAGCTAATGCTTGCAGGGGTTGAGCTCTGGCTCTTTGGTCCCGCCTCTCAACTGTCAATCAACTAATGTTCAGGATGATTATCTGTGTGTATGGCTACTTCTCCCTCTCCCTCTCTTTAAAAACATATATATTATATGGAATAGAAATACGAAACCTGTGTGTCTTTACTCAAGCTATTAATAACCACTATAATCCCTATTCAGGTTAGAATAATAGCAAGCAAAATCATGGCTATTGGCTAAAATATAGACCCCCAAAATAGACATTCGTTCTACATTAGAAAATGTGTTAATCAACGTTAATTTTAATGTACAGATTATGCATTATTACCTTGTAGCTTGATTCATATAGCAAAAGTTTTATTATGTCAGTGAATGTTGACCTTTCAAGGGTCAAATATCACTCTATATATATATATATATATATATATATATATATATATATATATATATATATATATATATATATATATATATATATATATATATATGTATGTGTATGTATGTATGTGTAATTACCTAAGTGTAGTTACAGGATGAGAGCTACGATCGTGGTGTCCCGTCTTCCCAGCACTCTTTGTCATATAACGCTTTGAAACTACTGACGGTCTTGGCCTCCACCACCTTCTCACCTAACTTGTTCCAACCGTCTACCACTGTGTGTGTGTGTGTGTGTGTGTGTGTGTGTGTGTGTGTGTGTGTGTGTGTGTGTGTGTGTGTGTGTGTGTGTGTGTGCGTGTGAGTGTGAACTTACCTAATTGTGTCTGCAGGATCGAGCATTGACTCTTGGGTCCCGCCTTTCCAGCAATCGGTTGTTTATAGCAATGACTCCTGTCCCATTTCCCTATCATACCTAGTTTTAAAATTATGAATAGTATTTGCTTCCACAACCTGTTCCTTAAGTGCATTCCATTTTTCCCACTACTCTCACGCTAAAAGAAAACTTCCTAACATCCCTGTGACTCATCTGAGTTTCAAGCTTCAATCCGTTCTCCTAATAGAACGTCGCATTTTGACGTATTTACTGAAGAACAAAAATTGTCGTACTAGAAAATGGAAGCGGCTCATGAAATTGACACATTTTCCCGTTTTCTGTTTTGGGCCCTCTGGTAAGTCAAGATAGGGGGGACTTGTGAAATCTTAGTCGGACGTGCTGGGATGTAAGAGATATGTCCCTCCTTACCTGCTCGATATCCTTCTAGGATAGCATATTGACCCCCCCCCCTAGCATATTTACCTCATGGTCGCTGGGACTGTATGATTGGAGCCAATCATTTGATGACCCTTTGGCTATCGTGATATATCTCATGAAGATGTTAATGCCTATATAACACCCTATACTATCGCCCCCTTGATCTACGTCAAACGCTATACCCCTGTAAACACTATTATCTACCAATTCACTGCCACGAATACACCTGTTTTTGGTGTGTGTGGTGAAGGAGAAAACAGAAACACTAATAAAATCGGGTTAAAGTTCGAAGCTAGCTCAAAGGGAGGAATTGAGGAGAGTAAATAGACAATCTTGAACAGTGGGAGAGCTCTCTGTCTCTCTCTATCCTACCAGTCCACAATCACAAACAATTATTTAGCAATATTCTCACAGTGTAGGATTATCCCATGAGTTTACTGACCTCTGGAACCTCTGCAACAGACAACTCCACCACGGGTTATTATTTTACGTAAAATGCAAGATGAATCTGTCAGTGTGTTCCATGCTGATATCTTGCTCGTGTGAGAAGTTTTTCATAAGCCAAACTCTGACTTCAACAGGAATGAACGTACATTGGAGGCGAGGAGTCACAATAACGTGGCTGAAGTATGTTGACCAGACCACACACTAGAAGTTGAACCCGCCAAACACACACCGAAACTACGACGTTGGTGCAACGTTCGAACAAGTTTTAAGCCCTCCTAACCAGTTATAACAACCAATATAGCAAGTTGTAACAACGTTCTAATACGTCATAAGCACGTTAAGCCAAGATGTAACAACTTTATTACACGTTGTAACAAGCGGAAAATAGAGACAGTTTCGGTTTGTGTTTCCAGGGAAGGGACGACGACGTTTCGGTCGTCGTTAATTTCTCGATTGAGAAATGAATTACCATTTCTCAATCGACTTGAGAATGGTCCAGGACGGACCGAAACGTCGTCGTCCCTTCAACTTCTAGTGTGTGGTCTGGTCAACGTACATTGAATCTGAGATTCATAATACTCCACATAAATCAATAGTTTAAAAGCAGAGTTCCTGCAGGGCTCATTTGTCGAAGCAGGTTATAATCATTTATGAGAGGCTGTCAAAATCAGTGCTTGAAGATTTTGGCTTGTCAAATAGTACAGAAAACAGTGAATTAATCCAGTCTGCTGAATGAATGGTTGTATAGTACCTAGAGTCTGCTGATTGAGTGCTTGTATAGTACCCAGAGTCTGCTGAATGAGTGCTTGTATAGTACCCAGAGTCTGCTGAATGAGTGCTTGTATAGTACCCAGAGTCTGCTGAATGAGTGCTTGTATAGTACCCAGAGTCTGCTGAATGAGTGCTTGTATAGTACCCAGAGTCTGCTGAATGAGTGCTTGTATAGTACCCAAAGTCTGCTGAATGAGTGCTTGTATAGTACCCAGAGTCTGCTGAATGAGTGCTTGTATAGTACCCAGAGTCTGCTGAATGAGTGCTTGTATAGTACCCAAAGTCTGCTGAATGAGTGCTTGTATAGTACCCAGAGTCTGCTGAATGAGTGCTTGTATAGTACCCAGAGTCTGCTGAATGAGTGCTTGTATAGTACCCAGAGTCTGCTGAATGAGTGCTTGTATAGTACCCAAAGTCTGCTGAATGAGTGCTTGTATAGTACCTAGAGTCTGCTGAAATGAGTGCTTGTATAGTACCCAGAGTCTGCTGAATGAGTTGTATAGTACCCAGAGTCTGCTGAATGAGTTGTATAGTACCCAGAGTCTGCTGAATGAGTTGTATAGTACCCAGAGTCTGCTGAATGACTGCTTGTATAGTACCCAGAGTCTGCTGAATGAGTGCTTGTATAGTACCCAGAGTCTGCTGAATGAGTGCTTGTATAGTACCCAGAGTCTGCTGAATGAGTGCTTGTATAGTACCCAGAGTCTGCTGAATGAGTTGTATAGTACCCAGAGTCTGCTGAATGAGTTGTATAGTACCCAGAGTCTGCTGAATGAGTTGTATAGTACCCAGAGTCTGCTGAATGAGTGCTTGTATAGTACCCAGAGTCTGCTGAAATGAGTGCTTGTATAGTACCTAGAGTTAGCATATTCTATGCCCTGTGTTTCAAATAATTTAATTCATTCGAAAGGAATTTGGAAGAAAGGATTTTTGTTAACCAGATTAAAGCAATGAGGATTTCACTAAATAACTCTGGTTTAGTGAAGGCTCTGTCTCTCCGTCTATTTGTGTGTATATCTGTCAGTCTCTGCTCTCTGTCTGTTTCTTGGTTACTGTTTATATTGTCTGTGTATATATCTGTCACTTTGATATTTGGTCTCTGTCTAACAGAAGCTGTCACTCTATTTGTCCGTTCCATTGTCTAGTTTCCCGTCAATCTCTATTCCTCTCTGTGTATATATATATATATCTATACATCTCTCTTTGTATCCGTATCTATTTCACGGCCACTATGTCTATCTCTGTCTATCTGTCTCCCCTTATTTTCTCCGTCTATGCCATTTCCACAATCGTTCTGAAGGCATTCTTGTCTTTGTTTCAGAATCTAATTATCTGATTTGGATTTTTTTTGCAATTATTTAGATTTCTTAAATAGATTAAAAGACAATTAAAATTTTAATCTTGGTTACCTGATTGGTCGTCAAGAGAAGCATCTTGTTTACTAAGCAAGATAAACAAGATGGTTGTTTTATTTTGTTTATATAATATATAATATATAGGAAAAGTAGCAGGAGTAGAGAGCTGAAGTTATAAACTCATTAATCAGTAG